TTGCCTGCCATCATGAAAAGAAAAAAAAATGTAAAAGGAAAAAGGCAAGAGCTGAGGTCAGGCTGAGCTAGTTGCTTCCAGAGTCACAGTGGATGACTCTGCTTAGTGCTTAACTGTTTAAAAAAGTCTCTTAAAAAGTGCCCTCTACAGGAGGAGGCAAGAGAACGATGTGCCTCATCTACGTCAGGAATTTTTCGGCTTTTAACCCTTGCTTAACTCTGCTCGAGTGATCATAAAACACCAGACTAGATGAGGCATGTCATTCTCCTGCCTCCTCCTGTAGAGGGCACTTTTTTAGAGGCTTTTTTAAACAGTTAAGCACTAAGCAGAGTCATCCACTGTGACTCTGGAAGCAACTAGCTCAGCCTGACCTCAGCTCTTGCCTTTTTCCTTTTACATTTTTTTTTCTTTTCATGATGACAGTGGTGAGGCTCTGCCTCCCCTGCCTCCCCTGACTGCACGTCACTGCTTATAACATTTTCACAAAAAAAATAAGATGGTTTCAAAAATAAATTAAATAGAAACACATGTTTTTAAAACAACATTTATGCTGTAAAGGTTCATTTTTGGAAACTTATTTCACTTGGACATTATTTAAAAAAAGAAACTGTATCAATTTATTCTTGCTTTTAAAGATAGTATTTTGTAATTCATAAATAAGTTAAGCCTACCGGTAATCCATTTCTCAGCCACCGGATTGTCGGAATAGGCTTGCCTGCAGCTATACATGGCCAATGGAATTCACTGCCAATATCTCTTTCAGTATCATTAATATGTTCCACCCATTCTGGAGATGCTGAAAGACAAGACAAACAGCTTTTCTTGTATTGTATGCATGGTTAAACCAGTTTTTTCTAGCCCTAACAGTTAGCTTAATTCCTACTTATTATATAAAACTCTTTCAGGGGTATCGAACTCAAGGCCTATCAGCCAGATCCGGCCCACAGAGTGCTTAGATCTGGCCCATGGGGCTGCCCTGGAAACAGTAAAGGACCAGCCCGCAGTGTCTCTGCCAGTGAAATTGGAGCTCGGGAGAGCCACATGAGCTCCGTTTTCGCTGGTAGAGGGTTGCAGGAGGCCATCCCAGCCGAAAATTGAGATTGGGAGCCCATTTTCACTGGCAGAGCGCTCAGGCCGCCATAGGCAACCCCGACATGAGTGACATCAAGCTGGCCGTGCTCAATTCGGGCCCCTGAGGTCAAACACAACCCTTATGTGGCCCTCAATGAAATTGAGTTTGACACCCCTGCTCTAATTAATAAATAACTGTACAAAAACCAAAAGCTAACATTCCTGCTGTTTTGCTGCAACAGTGACAATAGTTCATTTAAAAGCAAATATTTATGTTTTTCCATCGAAGCACATCAAAGAATGAATAGAGAATATATGAGTTTAAGTCTTGATGCTCATTCACACAGTGGGTAATTATGATTTCCTATTTCATCCAAACCAGATCTGGTGACTGCATGTTAACAAATGGGATCTAATGCCATGCTTAATGACATGTCCTTTTTACTTCCGTTTCTACACCACCAAATCTGCCACAGATTCCAGACAATTAACAAATGGAAATTAAAATACTCATTATACAAATACCCACAGTCAATAAGCTAATTAAAATTATGAATTTTAGACATCATTTTTAATGGACAGAACATTAACAATCAGCCCAGTAAGAATCACAGCAATAGAAATAACAAAGGTGGCAAAATGGTTGTTCTGTTCTCATTACACCTTAGTCTGTGTACAGCTCAGCATACAGCTAAACCCACCTACCCTCCAATAAAACAGACCATGTGTCTAGTTCTGGATGATTTACTGAAAAAACAGAATATGATGAAACTGGAGAAAATAGAAATACATATTTGATTTGAATATTCTATTGGTAATATCTTGAAAATGTATTTTAAAATGCTGGAATTATTTGCTTGATTATTGGAAGAAATTGCTTGAAGAAAATAAAAACAGATTTTCAGCTGTCACATTGGGTGAACATTGAAATGTTAGGCAATGGTGTACCATCTACTGATGAAAGAACATATATTATATTTTTACAAGACTAGGAATGTCCCTGAAATAATCTGAGGACTGATAAGCCAGAGTGGAGACAAAAAACAGCTGGAAGACTGCCTTTTTGCATACTATTTTATATCTATTTGCTTCACAGCTAAGGAGGAATAAATTCTGAGACTTTTAAAGATTGCTAAGTAGAGTGGCTTACAAATACATGGAATTATCATTGAAAATAAAGAGTTGACTATGTGGTTTGCAACGACATGGGGAAACCTGATGGATCACCTAGGACAGTGTTCGGCACCAAGTGCGGAAATGGGAGCGCACGTGAATGTGTGTGCCAGAAATAGGAAGAGCAGCTGACCAGTGTGCATGTGCATGCCGGGAGGCTGCTCTTCCAATTTCCAGCACATGCATGTGTACTGGCCACCTGGTCTTCTGGTTTCTGGCACACATGCATGTGAGCATACATGCACCAGAAACAGGAAGATCATTTTCCTAGTGCACGTGTGTGCACCGGATAGCTTTTCTTCCAGTTTCCAGCACTCCCGTGCATGTGAAGACCAGCTGGCCAGCATACCAGAACCCAGAAGAGCAACAGGCGATGGCTAGTGTGCCCGGAGTGATAGTTCTGCATGCCAGCACACGTGGCATAGGTTCGCCATCACAGGCCTAGAATTATAATTGTTGTCTGATAACTATATAAAGAGATGAAAGAAGGGGAAAAAGACTTTTTGGAGAACTTGGAAAGAGTAAACTGACTGGTTGAGGACTATAAAGAAATATAAATATTATGCATCCTGAGGAATAATTTTGGGACCAAGTAAATTGTTTTAATACTGGCTTTTGATGTTATAGACAACCAGGAATTTGGGACCTTGGAAGCTTATTGAGTAACCTTTTGACTCATCAAAATAAGACAAAATCCTTCAACATAAGTGTATTTCAAAAAGAAATATTATTGATGTTTCAAAGTATTCATGAAACTATAACAAAGAATCATCGGGAGATAAAGAACTTAATACATGATATAGTTGTGAAACCAGAAAATGTTCCTCAAATGACAATGATAAATGAACAGGAAGCCCAAGAAATAGAGGAGAAAATAGAAAAACAGAGGAAAGAATATAGCAGAAAACAACAACAAATGAATCCAAAAGATAAGGAGAAGAAAGAGGTAATTAAAACAGATGAAATAGACCAGGCAGATTATACATTAATGTATAAAGATCAAAAAATATAACTGAATAAACAGAAATTCCTGAAGTGAGGATAGAGACACTGAAAGGCATAGTGAAGGTTTGGCAGTGAGAGGTAGAGATAGAGGAAACATTTATATCAAACAAGAATGATGTATGAAGATACGAAATCCCAAGGGGATGTATGGAAAACATGCCAAAAAAGCAACAAAATTGAAATACTAAAACAGGCAAGAGATGATGGATAGAAATAGAATACCTACAAATATAAGATTTGTTCTATTAAGAAATAGAATAGAAGTAGAAACTAGATAGGGGAACATATTAGTGTGTATATTTTTATATAAATTTTGTAAAATTACTGTATAAGACGCACCAAGGTTTTGAACAGGCAATTTTTTTTTTAAAAAGGTAGGTAGGTTGATAGATGGATAGAGAGAGAAAGAAAGAGAAATACAATACATAGGTAGGGAGAGTGAGTAGTTGGGTAGCTAAAGGGAGAGAGAGAGAGAAATAGAGAGAGAGAGAAATACAGTAGGTAGGTAGGGGAGAGAGAGAGAAAGTAGGTAGGTAGAGGGATATATATATATATATACATATATATATATGTATAAGGTGACCAGATTTTCAGATCGGTAAAGAGGGAAACCATTGACCGGGGGGGAGGGGGCTTGATTAAAAAATTTATATTTTGTCAAAAGGTCACCCCAGGACACTGAGACCAGNACACCAATGTTGTCTTCCTTTCCCAAGCTTCATCTGTAACTTCCTCCTTGGTTTTTTTTAAAGCAAGGGTCGCCAACCCCTGGTCAGTGGACTGGTACTCAGCAGCAGCCTATTGGGAACCGGGCTGCACAAGCAACAGGTGAGTATATGATGCTCCACTTGTGCAAGACATCCCCTCTTCCCCATCGCCACCACCACCCCTACTGCCAGTCCACAGAGTCTGAAAGTTTGTGGACCACTGTTTTAAAGCAGTGGTCTCCAATCTTGGCAACTTTAAGACTTGTGGACTGTTGCGTCCGCCTGACGCAGCCAGCAGTCAAACCACACCCTGCTGCAACCTGATTGGTCCAGGCGCAGTTGGCTGCTGGCGGGAGAATTGCTCCTCTTCCATTGGCTGGCCGCCTGACAGCTATTTATATAGATAGCTGTCAGGCGGCCAGCCAATGGAAGAGGAGCAATTCTCCCGCCAGCAGCCAACTGCGCCTGGACCAATCAGGTTGCAGCAGGGTGTGGTTTGACTGCTGGCTGCGTCAGGCGGACGCAACAGTCCACAAGTCTTAAAGTTGCCAAGGTTGGAGACCACTGCTTTAAAACAGTGGTCCGCAAACTTTCAGACTCTCTGGACTGGCAGTGGTGGTGGTGGTGGTAGTGGTGGCGATGGGGAAGAGGGGATGTCTTGCACAAGTGGAGCATCATATACTCACCTGTTGCTTGTGCAGCCCGGTTCCCAATAGGCTGCTGCTGAGTACCAGTCCACTGACCAGGGGTTGGCGACCCTTGCTTTAAAAAAAACCAAGGAGGAAGTTACAGATGAAGCTTGGGAAAGGAAGACAACATTGGTGTCCAGAATGTTAGATTAGCATTTGGAATAGAGTTACCATGGAGCCAGGAAGCTTTGAATCAAAATAAATTTCCAGGTGGAAAAAAGTACGGTAATCAATGGAAATTGAAGCATAGAAGTAAATGTTTTAGACGGTATTACTATGGCGGAATTGGGAATTGCATTTACTTTAATTTGCTTTTCTGTGTTAACTCTTTTATGTTTATTGGTTTATTGTCAAGTTTTTTAAATCCATTTTTTTTTCTGTTTGGACGTATTAGTTTTATTCACAATTACCATGTTATTTGATTTATACTTTTGATTTCTGCAGTCTCTCTTTTAAGAGCCAGACACAGCTGTTTATTTTAGCCTATCAGCCCAATTTGGCTTGGAGCATTGTATTTTTTTAGCTTTTTTTTTTAAACCAAACAGTATAAATATTTAATGCAATATCTCAATTTTGAACATTAAAAAAAAATACAATTGACTGGAAATTGATCCCATTACACAAGAAGAACAAAAAGATACTTTAAAAAACCCCACAGGGGCTCAATTATCATCCTAATTGAAGACCCAGGAGAACAACCCAAGATTTTAACAATTTGTGAAAAATTAGTAAATTTAAATTCCAATTCTTTCTTCCTTTTCATTTTCTGATAGAGTTTGATTTCATTTATTTCCTATGAAATTGATTTATTTCCCACAGTGGAGGGGAGGGTTGAAACCTCCACCTGCATCCATCTTTGGTACATAAACACACTTCAAGTGAATTTCATTTTGTGCATTTTAACCTTCGTAATAATCCGAAAGTCAACACTATAATCCTTTCATACAGCATGGCAACAAGGTAGATGCACTCTGCTACAAATACCACCATAATTAAAATTTGACTTATAATTTACTAAATTCTATTAAAGGCACTGTGACGCAGTGGCTCAGTGAGTAAGACGCTGACCTTGTTAATCAGAAAGTTCGGCAGTTCGGCAGTTCGGNTCTGACAGGATAGTGGGGAATGGAAGGATTTATATTCCTTGCAGGCAGCTGGTAATTTGCATCCTTTTAGAGGGTCATTGAAGCACTTTGAGATTTATCTGTCCTTAGGGTCACCTGAGTAGTGCTCCTGGTTCCCATACACAACAATTTCTTTCCTCTGGAAATCCATTCCTACTCCTATACCATTCAAAAGGTGTTGCAAATTACCAGCTGTCTGCAAGGAATATAAAGAAGCTTCTTGGATGAGAAATGAAACATCTTCAAAAGAAAAAAAAAGAGAAAATCCAATTGCCTCCTGAAAAAGCATCTTTGGGACCACATTCAAGTACATAAGGTTGGTGAGTAACTTTTAACTAATCACTACTTCTCAGCCTACCTCACCCCACATAACCATTGTAGAGAAAGAGAGGCAGTGCTAAATATGCTATCTTGAAGGCATTAGAAGAAAGGCAGAATGAACAATCAGTAAATCATTTTAGAAATAGATTTATTTTTCTCAACCTGTCATTGATGAATGTCCCATTTAAATGGATCTGATTTTCCAGAGTAAAGTTAAAATCAAAGTCCACGATCCTCTTATTGCTAAAATTCTTCGCTCTACTGGCATATTCATCTGCTTGTAGATGCCTAATGACATCTGGAAACCAGACAGACAATCCATAGTACCTATGAAAGCAATTGGTGTAATTTCAGCATTCAATAGAAATACATGACACAAAAATGAACTGCAATGCAGCATTATGTTGAATATATACTGATAAAAAAGTAGTTTTACAACGTTCTAGCTGCATTCAGATGTAACAAGAACATGCATAACATTCCCAAAGATTTCTGAATTCCCTCTCTCTTTGCAAAAATTATCATGAGAACTGATGTTGCTATGTTAAAATTAATATTATATATTGTGTCATATACTATGTTAATTATGATTAATCAAAATAAGCCAATTGCATAACTTATAGAAGAATGAAGGTGAAGTCATGACAACATATAGATGGTGGCATGGGGGTAGTGGTGGGAATAAGAAGAGAAAGACAATGCCTACAAACTCTAAAATCAAAACATACACATGCAGCTTATGCTAAGGGTCTCATACTTGAAATTTTTAAATGTGGTTTAAGAAAAAAGAAACAAAATTAAGAATGCTGAATCTTTGAAATAAATAGAAATGGGAGATTATATATATANGGGGGGGGCAGAATTTCTCTCTTTTGACAAAGATTATACAGGTGCCTGTATAAAGTTACAAAACTTTCATTGTAGTAAGTTCAAATTCTGGAATTCCAGAATTTGGGGACATTTTTTTTTTTAAGTATACAAGGAGATGTTCACAACTCAGGCATTTAGCAATAGCAATGGCACTTAGACTTACATAGGACTCCATAGTGCTTTACAGCACTGTCTGAGTGGTTTACAAAAATCAGTATATTACCCTCAACAATCTGGGTCCCTAGTTTACCAACTTTGGAAGGATGGAAGGCTGAATTAATTTTGAGCTGGTCAGAATCAAACTGGAATATTGCATTCTAACTGCTGAGCCACCATGGAAAGTGAATCTTGGAAGAGTTTTGCATTTCATTGTTGGTTTGTATTTCCCAATTTAAATTGACAGGAAGTTATTCTGAGGAACTCTTCAGAGGGGGATCAGGAGGTTGAAAAACAATTTGGAGGAGCTGAACGTAGCCATGGAAACTTAGGTTGCCCAATTTTCTGTCAAGCCATAAATCTGAGTTGCTGGGTTCACACAATATTTCAATTAGCTTCATAACAAATTTAGAGAGCAGACCAGTGGTGGATTGCTAAGCTGTTTACTACCGGTTCGCTTGTGCAGAAGCGTCCTGGAGGGTGGGCATAGCCTCCCCCCATTGCCACTACTGGTTCGGCCAAACTAGGCCAAACTGGGAGCAACCCTGGAGTAGACGGCTTGCTTTTTCTAGATATGTAATTAAAAACTGGACACTTGATTTTCCTTGTAGTTTTCAAAACCTAGGAATCTTATAAGCTTGACCTTTTTTTTAGTCAATTACTCTACCAGTTTACTACCAAATGTGAAGAAGTGTGGATTCTTATCCTCTTAACTCTCTAACAGTTGAATAGCGCTTCCAAATATATTTACTCTTTCTAAAGCTTGGGAAGAAGGACAGGCAGTTTTCAGAATTTACAACATGAATTTATTCTCCCTGTCTCTTTTTAAACATGAAAGAAAATAGCCTTCGCTTTATTTGAAACAGTGTCTTCTCCTATATGGTGACATTTTACATTTAAAAATAAAAAAATAAATCCAAATCGAGCACAAAAATTCCAGATTCATTTATTTCTTTAATATTTATTTATTATTTTTATTATTTATTTATCTATTTATCTATTTTTATTATTATTATTTATTATTTATTTATTTATATTACTATAGTTTCCTATAGAATAGAATAATAAAACAGTTGGAAGGTACCTTGGAGGTCTTCTAATCAACTCCTTCCTTGAGCAAAAGATCCTATTTTTGTAAAAATTGTGTGTGCACCAAAATTGTGTGTGCCAAAATTGTGTGTGCATTCACACCCACAATTTAATGTGTCCTGAACAACTGAGCATGCATGCATGACTCTCCCCTATGTGGGGGAGTTTCTGCCCTCCCCAGGCTCCAGAGGCTTTCCTGAAGTCTGGAGGGGACGAAAACGGCTTCCCCCAGGACCCTCGGAGGCCCTCCATAAAGCAGAAATGGATTGTTTCTGAATATTCAATTGGCCCGTTGGCCCTATTTTTTCATCCTCCCTGGACTCCGGAGGCTTTCTTGAAGCCTGGGGAGGGTGAAAACGGCCTCCCCTGGCTTTCCAGGTGTCCAAAAATCAGCTGGCCAGTGTGTGCATGCGTGCCGGAGCTGACAGCCACAGGTTGGCCATCACAGCCTTATATCATTTCAGACAAATGGTTGTCCAATCTCTTTTTGAAAGTCTTCAATGAATTTCTGAAGGCAATTGATTAATTGCTCTCCCTGTTAGGAAATATCTCCTTAGTTCTAGGGTGCTTCTCTCCTTGGTTAGTTTCCAACCATTGTTTCTTGTCTTGCCTTCAAGTGCTTTGGAAATCAGTCTGATCCTCTTGTCTTTGTAGGAGCCACTCAAATATTGGAACATGCTTACACGTCCCCCCTAATCCTTCTTTTCATCAGACTAGAGACATACCCAATTCCTGTAACCATTCATAGTATGTTTTAGCCTCCAGCCCCTAATCATTTTTGTTGCTCTTCTCTGCACTCTTAACATCTTTTTTTATATTATGGTGACCAGAACTGGGTGCAGTGTGGTCTTACTGAGGCTTTGTAAAGCAGTGCTAGGACTTCACGTGACCTTGATTCTATCCCTCTAAGGATCTTAGGATTGCATTGCCTTTTTTGACTGCTGCGGTACACTCTTGTATCATGTTATATCAAAATTGTACCATCTTATATCAAACTGTGGCCAGCTCCCAGAATATAATCCTGATCTGTATATATTTGCTCTATATGTCCTAGGTTCCATGGAATCTTCCTGATTTTGAGAACTCCAGAGGCTGTTTAGGAGAGAGGAAGAGCTTCCTTTGCAGGACACAAAACAGCTTTGCAAACAAAAAATATCCAGCAAGTGATAGATAGCATCCTCAGTATGCCCTTTGCATGTCAGGAACTGCTCTTCCCACCCTGCCACAATTGTGCTTTTTCCTGTCTTCCTCTACTAAAACCTGCACTGCTGTTCTGCTATTTCTTTATCAGAGATTTGTTTTTTGTTTGGTTTGTTTGGGGATGGGGAAAGATACATGCGAGATACAAAAACACTGGGCAATTTGAATAGAATACAACATCCTCTGGACTTTGAGCAAAATTTTATGAATGAGGCAGGCAATTGCATAATAGAAGCCAGGAAATTGTGGGCAAATTATTGGAAGATATAGAAAACACCCCTTAACAGTTCTAACAGCAAGCATGCATGCTATGCAAAAAGACCTCCCAAATCAGCAATTTGCTCTTTTTCCCCCCTTTAACTAAAATGTGAGTTTGATCAAGCTTAGTACTGGATTATCAATAGATTGGAACTAGAGATACAGAAACTTTTAACTCTTAATTGCCATATAGTGGTTGTCTGTTTTTCTTCCAGCCCACATCTAGTAGCCAAATACTTAGAAGATCTCAGCAGGTCACAGACTGAGTCCAGCAACTAAGCAGGGTCAAGCTTGATTGATTTGGATGGGGTTACTTCAAGTAACATCAGGGCAGGAGGCTAGATGAGAAGAAGATAATGACAGGCTACTTTGGTAACACTGCCCCCCACCAAAAAAAAGAACCCTACATGACCAAAGCCATGAAGACACCACATCCAAAGGAGACTTTACGTGTTAGATTTGGAAGACAACAACTTTGAGAATGAAGATAATTAACCCTTCCTCTGCAGGCTACCTTTCTAATTTCTATCCATCCAGAGAATTCCAGATGTAGATTTCCAAAGTTTGTATAGTCTAGCTAACGGGGAGAGCTTAAGCTTACCATTTTGATCTCCGAGGGCTGTTCAATCAGCCATGTTAACACAAATTATGGATTTTAGTTGAAGGAAATCTATTTTAGAGGTAGAAGCCATCCTTTCCATTAATTATCATCCCATCTCCAAATAACAGAAGCGACATTGTATTGTTGTGGTAATGTCACTGAGTTTGCAGAAATCCAGATGTCCCATCCGACAGATATAGGAAACACTCTCCCATGCCACCTAGTGGTTATTTGGAATTTTGCAACCCATACTTTGCAGTTTTAATAAAATTGATGTGAAGGAAGAGTTTTATTTATTCATACACCACATTTTAACATAACATTTCCATGTCATTGTATGTTTCCATGTCAATGAAGTTTCACAGAGATAGGGTGGAACAAAAGTGTGATGGACAAGTTGATGTGGGAACAGATGTGCCCTAAAAATAGCTAAATACATGAGACAATGTAAAAGTTGTGTAGGAAGCGAGCACCCACCTCTCTCCTAGAAAATGAAATATTTCAGGAAATATTAAAAGGGTGGACTATTTCCCCCTAAAAGTGGGGCAGAAACTCATCCCCCACCTTTGTCAATGGGCCATTAGCAAGAGCCGAGGTGGCACAGTGGTTAGAGTGCAGTACTGCAGGCCACTTCAGCNTTTAGTCATGTCAGGCACAAGACCATGGAGACGTCTTTGGTCAGTGCTGGCTCTTTGGTTTTGAAATGGAGATGAGCACTGCCCCTTAGAGTCAGGAATGATTAGTACATGTGCGAGGGGAACCTTTACCTTATAGTTAACAAAAAGATGTCTCATCAGAAGGCAGAGAGGATTAGGAGAAAACTGGCTTTTCCTCCATGAGAATGCTGCCCAAATGCCTTCTCCCAAAGAATCACTGGTTACATAGTTTACCTAACATAAGTATAAGTATAATCTTTATTGTCATTATACTTAAATACAATGAAATTGGTTAAAATTCAACATAATTGACTTTAGATTACATTGTAATCTAAAGTCAATTAGCAATAGCAATAGCAGTTAGACTTATATACCGCTTCATAGGGCTTTCAGCCCTATCTAAGTGGTTTACAGAGTCAGCATATTGCCCCCATAGTCTGAGTCCTTATGCAGAAAGAACTGAAAATATTTGGAGATTTAAGGTCATATTTTAAAATCATTGAACCAAAATTTCAGTATGCTCAGGAAACACCTAAAAACAGAGGCCAGAAGGATAGAAACTGAAGCAAGGTTTGGAGTGGGGACAAACTTTCATCTTGGTTGAAAGTTGATTTTCTTCCATTTCTTTTGTTCCACCTTTCCCTTCTTTGTTTGGAATTTCAGTGACTATTAACTGAATTCAGGCATGGTGATTTGGGAACACATCTTAATGCCAAATGACAGCTCAGAGAATTATATGGCTCACGTACTAATTCACATCTGAATTAAGTCAAATCTAGGTTTGGGATTCAAGACTGTTAGGGTTCTTATATCCCACTGTTTCCATTTCTCAAACCATTAAAAACAATCGACCAACATTTATTCTTAAAAATGGGACACAAAACCTAGTCTGCACAATTGGTTTGACATTTTAAACAATACCACAATTGTAAACTGCCACAGCACCATGCTCCCAAACTCCCTTGCTCCTCTTTATTATTGAAGCCACAGACAAATCAGTGCAGGAAATTACAGTGGCTTAATTTCTACAGAGTTGGAAAGCAGGACAAAGCAAAATGTCCCAATAATGGAAAATCCATTTACTTCTTCCCCAACTTCAGCAAAATTGAAGGAGTGCTGAAAAACGACATTCAAAATATTTCATGTTGAACTGGATTCTGATCTGCAAATAAATAGGTTCAGTCTGGGGACACATGGCAAATAGCTGACTTAAGACCATGGTACATGTTATTTATTTATATCCCAGATTTATTTTTTATAAATAAGTCAGTGAACATATTTAATATTCTTTCCTCCTCCAATTCTTCCCACAACAACTCTGTGAGGTGGGTTGGCCTAAGAGAGAATGATTGGTCCAAGGTCACTCAGCTGGATTTCATGCCTAACGCATGAGTAGAATTCACAGTCTACTGATGTCTAGGTCAGCATATTAAGCACTAGAACAAACTAGTCTATGTAGGGAGATATGCAGAGATGACAGAGCTAGGAAAAGACTCCTTCACTTAAAATTCTTTAAAATGGGGAAATATGGGGTTAGACAGCATTCCCAGTTTGCTAAGATTCGTGGAATTGCAATCAACCAACATATCTGGAGGGAACCATCTATGTAAAGACTGGAGGTTCTACAATTCAATTTCTCCTTTTTAAAACATTGAATATTTCATATAAGAACCATGTGTTTTGTCTATTTTGATTGGTCACAATAAAGGACTTAACTAACCTACTAAACTAAATCATTCATCAGTGTTAGCTAGGTTTGTTTTTATGCTCATTTTGAAGTCTGGAGGAGATCAAAGATTTAAACATAATACTTGTTGAAGGGGAATTTCTACACTTTCCACCCACATACCTGATACACATATGTAGTAAATGATAACTTAAAAACATTTGCTCTCAAAAAAATGCACAGGTACAGTATATGTGGTACCTTGCTCAATAGTAGTAATTGTGAGAGGGATCTTGGA